GAGGAGCTGAGGGATGAGAAGCAGATGAGAAGAGAGAGAGAGAGAGAGAGAGAGAGAGAGAGAGAAGGAGATGGAGAGGAGGAGAGAGAGAGGAGAGAGAGAGAGGAGAGAGAGAGAGAGAGAGAGAGGAGGAGAGAAGAGAGACGGGAGGAGAGGAGAGGGAAGAGAGAGAGAGGGGGGGGGGGGAGTGAACGTGCGCGCTCGCGAGAGAGAGAGAGAGAGAGAGAGAGAGTGAGAGAGAGAGAGAGAGAGAGAGGAGAAGAAGAGAGAGAAGAGAGAGGAGAGAAGCAGCGAGAGAAGAGAGAGAGGAGAGAGAGAGAGAGAGAGCGCAGAGAGAGAGAGAGAGAGAGAGAGAGATAGAGAGAGATGGAGAGGAGAGATGAGAGAGAGAGAGAGAGAGGAGAGAGAGATGAGAAGAGAGGAGAGGAGAGAAGAGAGAGAGAGAGAGGGATAGAGAGAGGGAGATAAGAGATAGAGGACTAGGAGGAGAGAGAGAGAGAGAGAGAGAGAGAGAGAGACGGAACAAGAGAGAGAGAGGAGATGGATGAGATAGAGAGAGATGGAGAGAGTGAGAGCGCGGCGCGGGTGAGAGAGAAGACAGCGAGCGAGGAGAGCGCGCACCAGCCAGGAGCTACTTTTACTTTAAAACAACCATAAGAGCGACGTCGCCAGCGGGAACATAGCTGACGTTAATCAACGGTGGCCAGCAACCCGACAGTAGGGTACATTCGACCACAACATCACAGAACATACCCCTGGTCCACTAGACCGTACAGTCCAACCGGACACTGCTGCTGCGACATCCGATCTTAGACTACCCCATCCCTCCACACCTCTAACCGCACAACAACACACGCGGCCTCTCTTCTACCTGTCTCGCTTACTGTCACGACGGCTCATAAGAGCAAGCGCACAGATTTCATCGATTTTGCTCATCCGTTGCAGGATGCTGCGCGGGCAACAGATGTGGCTACAGAATTAAGCGGTTGGATAAATATTTGCGAAATTTTCTTCTTCTCTTGGTCACCCCCAGTACACTCCCACCCCCGCCCCACACCTCGCCCCCCCCCCCCACCACAACATAGCGAGCTTAACTACAAGTGCACATCTTCTCTACAAATACTTGTTAGGTGCGTGCGTGCGTGCGTGTGCGTGCTCGTGCGTGCGTGCTGTGTACGCACACGTGGGAGGGGGGGGCGCGGCGGGGATGGACTGCGGCAAAGCAAAGCATTGTTTTCAGGAACTGTCCAGAAGATTTCTGCCAGACCGAGAGTTCGAAGCTCTATTTCCCTCGAACGAACAGTAATTTAATTGAACAAACGCTTGCACGAAGAATATTTTATGCCTCTCAGACACAAGATAGACGTATGATCGATTCAAGGGCTTTTAACAACCAGACATTATTGATAGCCTGAGCGGGCTATTTGGGGCCGGCCAAACACTGATTGGACACACACGCACACACGATGCACGACGCACGCACGCAGCACACATCAGCAAGCGAGGTAGTAGCAGCAGCAGTAGAAGCAGCAGTAGCATCAGCAGCACGCAGCCGCTAAGTAGTGCTAGTAGAAGCAGTAGCAGCAGTAGCAACAGTATAGCAGCAGTTAGCAACAGTAGTAGTCGCAGTAGTAGTAGTAGTAAGGTAGCAGCAGTAGCAAATTCCTGCTGTTTGTCAATCAACGTTCTGGCCATCTTCACTTCCTCGTCAGTCAGCCAGGCGGGCGAACAACCTACATACATTGCTTAACCCAACTGTGCGCGTCACCCGGGCAACAGGTAGCGATGGAAACCGCGCGCGCGATGTGTGGGGAGCATGCATGCACCGCTCGCACGCACGCACGCACGGCGGGACAAGCCGGACACGTTAAAGCTGTCAGCTAAATCCTCTTTCTTCTCAATACACTGCCGTTATTTAGAGTGGGGGGTAGGGGGTGGGGAAAGAAGCGAGCGAGAAAAAAGCGAAGAGAGAGTATATATATAGACAGAGAGATAAGAAAGCGAGTGCATATGAGAAGATGGAGAGCAGAGAGAGAGGGGGGATAAGAGAGAGAGAGAGAGAGAGAGAGAGAGAGAGATGGAGAAAGAGAGAGGAGAGCGGAGAGAGAGAGAGAGAGAGAGAGAGAGGAGAGAGAGAGCAGACGAAGAAAGCGAGAGCGTAGTGAAAGAATCACGGATGAAGTGTGTGTGCGTGGGAGTGGGCGTGGCGGGCGTGTGCGTGTGCAGTGGCTGTGCTGTCGTGCGTGTGCGTGTGAGAGAGGGCGGGGAAGAAAGAGAGAGCGACAGAAGGGGCGGTGGACATACAGAAACACACTCGCCGTGGCAACTAAAGCCCTACAATTGACAGCCGTAGGAATTCTTAACCACGGTCGCGACTGTTGTATTGTCGCGGTGGCCGCTCGTTGTTGTACTCAGCTTGTCGGCTGTTTGCTCAGCTTATTAAAAAAAGTTACCTTCGATAGAGACAGCTTCTTCCTCTTCTCTCGCCCGCTCTCTCACTGTCACTCGCACTCCTTAGCTGTCTCATTTCGTTCTCTCTCTCTCTCTCTCTTTTCTCAATCCTTCTCTCATCGCTCTCGCTCTGTTCTCTCCCCTTCCCTCTCTCTCCATCTTTTCTCTCGCTCCCCCTCCCTCTCTCTCTCGCTTGTTTTCCGCCTCTTTCTCTCTCCGTCCCTACCTCCCTCTCTAATAGCTGCGGTTGTATCGATGAGAAGAGGATTTCGCTGACAGCTTTAACGTCTCTCTCTCTCTATCTCTTTCGCTAGCGCTACCGCTCCCATTATCTCTTCCTTGCTCTCCTCCTCCTTATCCTTTTCATTTCTCTATTTCTTTCCACACGTACACCCACACGCACGTAAGCCTGCACACGATACGCACACGCACACACTCGTACACTTAAAACTTTTATTTAATGTAACCCGAACACGGGAAACCAACCGACAGAACCACTTTTATAAAGGAGCATTTATTAACCGACCAATTGGTAATTATGACGTTGTACATACGCACCCACTGGCCGCGCACCGCCGCACACTGCCACCGATGGCTATTGCGCATACACAAACACACAGCACGCTAGGAATGGCACGCTACTGCACGATGCCAACCGGCACTTACTACTACCGCCACAAACAAATGCAAAGACGCAATGCATCTACGCTACAAAAAGTGACGTCACTGTCAAGGCCGCGCCATTCAGCACTGGGCACAGTTAATTTACCTATCCAGCTAATTACTAGTTCAGCGAGCGTTATCCGTTCGCCGCTCCGCCTCCCCTCTCCCCCAGCCACAATGCCGCCTTGAAATTATTCCTCATCTTTTACACGCCGCCCGATATTGAAGACAAGATTAACGTGTGTAGAGGAGATGGGGGGGGAGAGAGAAAAAGAGGGGAAAGGAAGAGAGGGGGAGGGGAGGGAGGAGAGGAAGGGAAGGGGAGTGAGATAGATAGAAAGAGAGGAGAGAGAGAGAGGAGAGAGAAGAGATGAGAGGAGATGGAGGCAGGAAGAGGAGGATGGGCAGGCAGGAGCAGAGAAGAAGGGCGAGGAGATGTCTCCCATGTTGCAAGGTCATTACGGGGTCGCAGTCACGACACTGGGATGGTCTCCCATGTTGCAAGGTCGCAGAGTGTTGCTAGGTCGCGGTTGTGACACGGCACTGACCTTTCACGCCGCTTTGTTTCAGGGTCGTGGAGTGCAGTGACCTACAACTGGTGAGCGGCGCATGTGACCCCTATGTGACGGTGACGGCGTGTTTCAGCAACAAGCAGGACACGCGAAAGACGCGCGTGCGCAAGCGCACCGTCAGCCCACAGTACGACGACACGTTCGTCTATGAGGTGAAAGTCTCACTTAACCCACGTTGTTTATCCATAATCCCGTGACGCTAATCTTTAACCCTAACCCTAATCTTTATCTCTAACTCCAATCTTAGGACCTACCCCTAATTGTAATCGTTTACCCTAACCCTAATCGCAACCCCTTATTTTAAATTCCAGAGAGACATGCTTATAGTAGAGAACCTTGTGTGTGTGTGTGTGTATGTATGTATGTCTATTGGCATTGTCACACAACATAACCCTAACACGAAAAGTACGAGATAAGAGAGCTCGCGTTTCCGTGGTTATTATTTCCTTCGTTTTTAACAGAGGGGCAGCCGCTGTGGGCTCTCGCCTATGTTAGGACTCCCTTCTCCCTTCCGTATGTACGTGGGTATGCCGGTGTTGTCACACCTCACCAGCATAACTCTAACCCTAATCGCAGTCCCTAATTTTAAGCCCTAGTCCTATTTCTAAGACCTACCCCTAACCATAAACCTTAACGCTACACCCCAACACTAACCTCACACCCAAACTAAACTTTCTAACCCCCTCCTGTGGGTGCGCGTGCATGAGCGAGCGAGCGTGAGGTGAGGTGAGATTCGATCGCATCTAACATGGCGTCTCTGCGTGTGTTTCAGGTTCCGAGCGAGTGGGATTGTTCACGCGACGCCCTCTCCGCCAACCTAGCAGAGCTGAGGTACGTGCACGTAACGACATCGCAGCGACGTCCCACACGATTCACGCGTAAAATGCTAGCATTCGCTCGGTTCCAATGGCGACTTGTGGCATCCATAAGGTGTCTGTGTCGGTGTAAATAGGCCTAGGTGTCGTGGTGATTTTGATTGGGACTAATTTTGATTTGTCGGTGGACACATACGCTGACAAGGGAGGCATGTGTTTCTGTTGAAAATGTGTTCGTGCTCGGTTTTCCCCAAAGACGGATCGAGTAGCGCTAATGTCACGCGTGAGTGCGCGATTCGTCGTCTCTCCCGATTATCGATCGATCGCACGTTTAGCGTTGTTCGTTTCGTTCCGCAGGGTTGCCGTGTGGCACGCGAACACAACATCGATGATGGGGAACGTGTTCATGGGCGAGATCAAGCTGAGACTGAGTAACTTCGGCGACGACCTTTGCAAAGGTCACGACTCCTGGTAAGGACGCCGCCTCCCCCATTGTTGTACGCACCGAGCGAATCTGCCAGATCTTGTTTTTTCCTGCTGGCGTCTATTGCCTCTTGATGCCTGACTCGTGATTGTGGCGAGACGGATGTCTGATGATGATTTATCTCTTTTTTTCAGTGTATTTATTATTATTTCATTATATTTATTTTATTGTTTTATTTATTCGTTATTTTATTTATTATTTTACAGATGCGACATTACACGATTGCGTGCAAACACTTTTTTATTACATCACGCAGTCTGTGCAGTGTGTTCTTATGCTTTTGAAGCAGATCGTTGGCTCTGGTTTCAGCCCCTCCTAACCCCGCCTCCTAACACCGCGTAACGGTTTGCGCTGTAATCTTTCTCTCTCCCGATCTCTCCCTGCAGGTATCTACTGCAGCCCAGGAAGGAATCTCTCAATGCCAGGCAGATCCTATAATCTTTCTCTTTCCCGATCTCTCCTTGCAGGTATCTACTGCAGCCCAGGAAGGAATCTCTCAATGCCAGGCGGATCCTATCATCTTTCTCTCTTCTGATCTCTCCCTGCAGGTATCTACTGCAGCCCAGGAAGGAATCTCTCAATGCCAGGCGGATCCTATCATCTTTCTCTCTTCTGATCTCTCCCTGCAGGTATCTACTGCAGCCCAGGAAGGAATCTCTCAATGCCAGGCAGATCCTATAATCTTTCTCTCTCCCGATCTCTCCTTGCAGGTATCTACTGCAGCCCAGGAAGGAATCTCTCAATGCCAGGCGGATCCTATAATCTTTCTCTCTTCTGATCTCTCCCTGCAGGTATCTACTGCAGCCCAGGGAGGAATCTCTAACTGCTAGGCCAACGCTAGGGTACCTGCGGCTCAACATCTGGTACCACGCCGACCATGTGTTCAATACTAGTCAATACTACTCGCCACTCAGGAACCTACTGCTGAAGTCTGCTTCCGTCAACGTGAGTGACCCTGCGAACCTTGTTCCCGCAGCGAGACTTGATGTTAAATCGATCGTCTCTCGAATGAATCGGAGAATCTCTCGTGAGAAATCCTTGCTTTAAAACCTATTTAGTCTCTGTGACAACCGGCCGCGGATTGGGTTGGCGCTGTTCGAATACATTCTGGCGGCGACCTGTCAAGAGGTCATTGTTCGTCAGTTTCGTGTCAGAAAGCAAAAAATAACACCAAGGGAAAAAACATCGTTTGGAAGATTGTGATCAGCCGACACGCGGTTGGCGAGAAAATTGCGCACTCGAGCAATTTCGCCCGATTTCCGGCAATCACAACAGTTCCGCGTATCTCTGCGAATCTCGGAATCGAGGCGTCGGTGTGATGTCAGGGAACGTGTCTTACGGATCAATGTTCTTTCGTCTGCGGATTTATGGGGTCGCACGCTATCTGAGCTTGAATCAAGCATCAAGAACGTGGGTCACGCGCGTGCCTGTAAAGCGCAAGCATGGCGTCTCTGCACTGCGCACCTAAACCATTAACCAACGGTTAACGAGAAAAGGTTTAGACTAATGTTAGGGTTATTTTGTTTCTGACAACAAGCCCCTGGTTGGCACCTTTCAAGCCGCTACAATTATCCCAACCCCTCCCACCCACCTCAATGATGTATGGATGAGCCTAACCCAATCACAGTTATCACACTTTATCCTGCTTGCAGCCGATCACCTCCAGTGCCGCCTACATACTAGGCGAGTGCGTCCCGAACAAGATCGATGCGGCGGCTCCTCTAGTCAGGGTATATCTCCATGGACACAACATCGTTCCACTCATCAACAGACTTGCTGACAAAGAGATATCGAAAGCAACGTAGGTGTATGTCGTTGGCTAGTTGGGCACACTGCTTCTGAAACAGGGTTGCCATGGCTACATGGATTGAAATGGACTTTTGATCATTGGGCTTTCTGTCTCATGAAGAGAGGTAGTCCACAGCAAAATGAGAGGGATTCCCAATCCGTCAATCGCAGAATGCGATTTTAACAAACCAAAGATGGTATCGGATTCAGTATTTTCCCTTTTTTGGTTACATCCAGCAGTTTTCAGGGGGTATCTACAGCAGTGCACATACATGCACTTGTGCTGTATTGTAAAATAGTAGATGGAACCTACTGCCTCATTATCACTAGATTGCAACCTGGAACCCCCTCTTCTCTCATCCATTTAGCTAGCATTTGTAGCATTTACATATAGCTACGTAACACTAAACTTTGTAACGGTTTGTGTAAGATAATCCCCAAGGAGAGTGTACTCGCGGCTTCTCCGCTGACGTCCTCGCTCGTTCCTCCTGCAGGGATCCGAACACGCTCTTTCGTGGCAATTCTCTCGTGTCGAAGTGCATGGACGAGTTGATGAGGATCGCCGGCCTCCACTATCTCCACGACACTCTAAAACCGACGCTGGATGAGGTAAGACCATCTCTGCGATCGCACGCCAGCCGTAATTAGTCTACGCCGATTGGTCCCCGCACGCACGCAGGCGTTACGGCGGGAGGGGTGCACTCTGCACGCGTCCCCCCGAGCGGCGTTTGCTCGCGGCCGCGCGCCGTCTAGCTGCCGCGAAGTGCAGATGGATGCGCCGTTAACGTCGTTGCGTCGTTCCCCCGAGATGTTGCCCTCGAGCGAGTGGCGGTCGGAGCGTTCCGGCATTGCGAATGCGCGCGGCGTGCGAGACGCTGGTTTCCCAGTCGCGTGTTGATCGTGAGCATATGAGTAACGAGTAAAACGTGATTTTTCTTGCTGCCCCACCCGATCGGAAAAGGAGCGGATTCGGTGAGTAGTCATTTACGGAGTTTTTTAATACGACGTAAAATTTATGTTGACGCGCGTAAATGTCAGTTACGACGACGGTATAAATCCACGGAGAACTGATATTAGCAGGTACTTGTCGCTATCCTCCGGGCGATTTTTGAGCTCGGTTGCAAAGTTTTATGTTGAGTTATGTTATTGTTGTGGATATACCTGCTGTGTCTGACGTTGATTGCTCTTGCTTCTTTCTGCCACTCGGTGTCAGATATAACTCACAAGTTTGTTGCGGGAATGTTCTGGGATTGTGATTTTGCTTTGTTGTTGCTCTGCCAGATTATCATGGAACGGAAACCTTGCGAGATCGATCCGCTGAAGCTGCGAGACATCGAGAATTTGGATGGCAACATGGTAAGAGTTATCGGCGAAGCGAGATGCATTAGATTGTAATGAGTAGCTGTTAAAGTCTGTCCATGCATTGTGAGATGCATGTATATTCTCTCTCTCTCTCTCTCTCTCTCTCTTATCCCCCCTCTCTCTCTCGCTCTCCATCTTTCTCTCACTCGCTTTCTTTCTCTCTCTATATATATATCTCTCTCTTTCGCTTGTTTTCTCGCTCGTTCTTTCCCCACCCCCTACTCCCCTCTCTAATAACGGCAGTGTATTGAGAAGAAGAGGATTTAGCTGACAGCTTTAACGTGTCCGGCTTGTCCCGCGTGCGTGCGTGCGTGCGTGCGAGCGTGCATGCGTGCTCCCCACACACTCGCGCGCGCGGTTTCCATCTGCTACCTGTTGCCCCGGTGACGCGCACAGTTGGTTAAGCATATGTAGGTTGTTCGCCCGCCTGGCTGACTGGACGAGGGTGGAAGTGAATGGCCAGGAAACGTTGATTGCCACACAGCAGGAATTTGCTACTGCTGCTACTACTACTACTACTACTGCGACTACTACTGTTGCTACTGCTGCTATACTGTTGCTACTGCTGCTACTGCTTCTACTACTACTACTGCGGCTGCTGCTGCTGATGCTACTGCTGCTTCTACTGCTGCTGCTACTACTCCTGCTGCTGATGTGTGCGTGCGTGCGTGCGTCGTGCATGCGTGTGTGCGTGTGTGTCCATCAGTGTTTTTCCGGCCCCAAATAGCCCGCTCAGGCTATCAATAATGTCTGGTTGTAGAAAGCCCTTGAAATCGATCATACATCTATCTTGTCCTGAGAGGCAATAAAATATTCTTCGTGCAAGCGTTTGTTCATTAATTACTGTTCGTTCGAGGGAAATAGAGCTTCGAACTCTCGGGTCTGCAGAAATCTTCTGGACAGTTCCTGGGAAACAATGTCTTGCTTTGCCCGAGCCATCCCCGCCGCGCCCCCCCCCTCCCACGTGTGCGTACACGCACGCACGCACGCACGCACGCACGCACGCACGCACGCACCTAACAAGTATTTGTAGAGAAGATGTGCACTTGTAGTTAGTCTGCTATGTGTGTGTGGGGGGGGGCGAGGTGTGGGGGGGGGGTGGGAGTGTATTGGGGGTGAGCAAGAGAAGAGAAAATTTCGCAAATATTTATCCAACCGCTTAAGTCTGTAGCCACATCTGTTGCCCGCGCAGCATCCTGCAACGGATGACAAAATCGATGAAATCTTGCGCTTGCTTTATGACCGTCGTGACAGTAACGAGACAGGTAGAGAGAGGCCGGCGGTGTGTTGGTGTCGGTTAGAGGTGGTGGAGGGATGGGGTAGTCTAAGGTCGGTGTCGCAGCAGCAGTGTCCGGTTGGACTGTAGGTCTAGTGGACCAGGGGTATGTCTGTCATGTGTGGTCGGATGTACCCTACTGTCGGGTTGCTGGCCACCGTTAGTAACGTCAGCTATGTTCCCTGGCGACGTCGTTCTTATGGTTGTTTTAAAGTAAACGTAGCGCCTGGCTGGTGCGCGCTCTCTCGCTCGCTGTCTTTCTCTCTCTCGCGCGCGCTCTCACTCTCTCTCTCTCTCTCTCTCTCTCTCTCTCTCTCTCTCTCTCTCTCTCTCTCTCTCTCTCTCTCTCTCTCTCTCTCTCTCTCCTCTCCATCTCTCTCTATCTCTCTCTCTCTCTCTGCCGCTAACCAATCACAGTATCACACTTTATCCTGGCTTGGCAAGCCGATCACCTGTCCAGTGGCCGGCCTACATACTAGGCGAGTGCGTCCCGAACATGAATCGATCGGTCGGCTCTCTAGTACAGCGGTATATCTCCTGGACACAACATCGTTCCACATCGCCCCACCGCCCCCCCACACAGCAGACTTGCTGGACAAAGAGATATCGAAAGCAACGTAGGTGTTATGTCGTTGGCTAGTTGGGCACACTGCTTCTGAAACAGGGTTGCCATGGCTAGCATGGATTGAAATGGACTTTTGATCATTGGGCTTTCTGTCTCATGAAAGAGAGGTAGTCCCACAGCAAAAGTGAGAGGGATCCCAATCCGTCAATCGCAGACATGCGATTTTTAACAAACCAAAGATGGTATCGGATTCAGTATTTTCCTTTTTTGGTTACATCCAGCAGTTTCAGGGGGTATCTACAGCAGTGGCACATACATGCACTTGTGCGTGTATCTGTAAAATAGTAGATTTGGAGATTCCTACTGCCTCATATCACTTAGATTGCAACCTGGAACGCCCCTCTTCTCTCATCCAGTTTAGCTAGCATTTCGTAGGCATTTACATATTAGCATCCCGTAAACACTAAACTGTGTTAGACGGTTTTTGTGTTAAAGATAAACCGCGCAAGGAGATGTAACTCGCGGCCTTCTCCGCTGCGTCCATCGCTCAAGTTCCTCCTTGCAGGGATACCGAACACCGCTGCCTTTTCGTGCAATTCTCTCGTGTGCGAAAGTGCATGGACGAGTTGAGTGAGGGATCCGCCGGCGCTCCCACTATCTCCACGACACTCCTAAACCGACGGCTGATGAGGTAAGAGCATTCTGCGATCGCACGCCAGCCGTAAGTTAGTCCTACGCCGATCGGTCGCGCCGGCACCAACGCAGGCGTTAACGGCGGGAGGGGTGCACTCTGGCCGCGGTCCCCACGGAGCCGGCGTTTGCTCGCGCCCACAGAGCGCCGCGCACAGGGCTCGAGCGCACGATGGGCAGCGCTGGTCGCTCGCCACGTAGGCATGGCTAAGCAAGGCTGGCGGTAGCGCGGCTGTCTAGCGCGGCCGCGAAGTGCAGATGCGATGCGCCGTTAAAAAACAGTCCCGGTATGCGTCGGTTCCCCCGAAGAATGTGTGCCGGCTCGGAGGCGAAGGCGTCGAGCCGGTCGCGGCAAATTGCGAATGCGCTGCGCGCCGTGCGACGACGCTGTTTCGGCAAGTCGCGGTCTGATCGTTGAGCAAAATGAGTGAACGGTGAAACGCTGATTTTCTTGGCTCGCCGCACCAACCCGAATCGAAAACAAGGAGCGACTTAAGTATGAGTAAGTCACATTTCACAGGGAAAAAAAAGTATTTTAATACGACGTAAAATTATGTTGCACGCTGCCGTAAATGTCAAGTTACGAACGAACGGTATAAATCACAGGGAGACATGATATGTAGGCAGGTACTTGTCGCTAAAATCCCTCCGCGGGCGATTTATTGAGCTCGGTTGCAAGAGTTTTAAGTGTGAGTTATGTCTATTGTTGTGGATATACCTGCTGTGTCTGACGTTGATTGCTCTGCTTCTTTCTGCCACTCGTGTCAGATATAATCACAAGTTTGTTGGCGGAAATGTTCTGGATTGTGATTTTGTTTGTTTGTTGCTCTGCAGATTATCATGGAACGGAAACCTTGGCGAGATCGATCCGCTGAAGCTGCGAGACATCGAGGAATTTGGATGGAACATGGTAGAGTTATCGGGCGAAGGCGAGATGCATTAGATTGTAATGAGTAAGCTGTTAAAGTCTGTCCATGCATTGTGATGCATGTATATATACATATATAATATATATATAATATC